ATCACCATCTCTCACCACCACCACTACCATCGCTCACTTCTATTATAACCGGGTGTTTAAATTCTTTTATTTTTCCTCTATGTTTATGATTTGATTTTGAGTTTGAAAACAAATATGTTTATTGTTGATAATTTTTTTTATTACTCTGTGTCTTTAGGCACAAGTAATAACTAATTAGCTTTTATAACATTTCGATAAAAACATAAAATTAAAAGCAGGTAACAAATTTTCAATATATATATTATGGTCTAAAAGTTTTATCAGGATTAGATATATCAGATTGATTAAGACTTTGGACCAATATTAGAGTTACTAACTTATGCCTATAAATTAATTGTAACCCCATTGAGATTTTGATATAATGAAACAAGGTAAAATTCTGTAAGTCACATAAAACCCGTATTCTTCTTGTGGATTTTTTTTTTCTTAATTGTTCACTGCACTGTATGTTCTCAACACCCATCTTGCGACTGCGAAAGACTAACCTTTAGTAATGGTGGTTGTGATTGTAACTGTAACGGTGGTGGCAACGATGGTGATGTTGGTGGCAAAAAAAGGAAAATAATTTTTTGATATATATTTTTTATTCTCCTCTCTTTATTTTTTTTTTTTTTTTCTTCTTATTCTTTCTCAACTGTGATGCGTAAGCGGAGGAAGAGGGCTATTGGTGTGGAGGACATGGGTTAGAAAGAAGGAAAAGATGGAAAATAATGGAAGACGGTGAAACTCGGTACCAACTGGACTTAAATAAAACTTTAAAGCAATTTTACATGAATTTAAAAGTTAGACTTAATAATCTCAATCATTGAATTCATTGTGGGTCCTAGCATTTATTGGGTTCCACAACCTATTCAATGGTTAAGATTATCAAATCTAATTTTTAAGTTTAGTTTTTAACTCTATCTAACATTACTCAAAACTTAATGGTGACAAATATCTGGAGAATCCCTGGTTATTTTCCAAACAAGTCACGTGTGAGTGAAATTTTTCTAGCCATTATCCTTGTATACCTTTTTTTTATTTTTTGTATATGAAATTGACACGCAGATACATCACTTTACATATCTGTTAAATAATATTATTTTTTAGTATTATACAATTATCTATAACAGATTCCACCGCACTTATGATGAGATCAAAGTTAAAGTCTCACCGTATGGTCTAGGCATTAAAGAATTAATTTAACCCTATGCTCAACTACTATAAATATAGAGACTCGAACTCAAGTATTAAACGAGAAAATTCGAGTTCTTTTAAGAGCAAAAAAAAAAACAGGTATATACAAAAAGCATACATCACATAAATTTCAACCGGATTGTCAATTCCCTTAATGCTCTATCGCAAACTAAATCCTAGTACAGTCTATTACAATTCCTGTGGATACCTCATCCATTCACAGTGGGTGATATAACATTTGCGGATATCTCATGGTGTGTGGGATCCTAATTCTCGATAGTCTATTTCACCAAAGATCCACAAGCCTAGCAACTGTATCATATAATAGGATAGACTATACAAACTTATGGTTCTTGAAATCTGTCTGCCCAATTACAGAACAGCGAAGCCCAGTAGAGACTTACTGTATGCCTAAGAGTCTAAGACAATGGGGAAATATGGAAAATAAGAATAAAATATATGGAGAATTATACCGAGACCTCTTAAGATTTGTTACTTAATCACTCACAAACCCCCTGACATTTAAAAATATTACACACAAATCCCTTAAGGTTTGTATGCGCATAACACTTAGACCCCTGTTGTAATTAGTATACAATTATATTGTCTATTAGAATTTAATTTAGTTGTTTAAACGACTAAATTAAAATACCAAACTACTCCAATTAAATCTAAAAGATATTGTGTCCATTATAGTTTGATTCCTTATTTAATTTTTTAGTTTTGTTCTAATAGACAATATAAATACATACTAAATATGTTTTTTTTTTTAAAAATTTATTTTAGATTTTATTTCAATAAATAATATAATAGAACATGAATTTTTCAAAATTCATGTTCTATTATGAATGACTTATGCTCTATTTGGTACGATGAAAAAATTGGAGGATGAAAAGTTAGAATAATAGAAAGTTGGAGGGATAAATAAAACATCATGTTTGATAAGGAAGGAAAGTAAGAATGATGGAAAAGTTGATAGATTAACTTTCCTTTCAACTCACCAAAATCATTCCCTCCAAAATCAGAAGGAAAGTGGATGAAAAGTTAATTATTTATATTGAGATGTATTTTATTTGTCTATATATCTTTTTATATATACATATATTATGTATACATTAATTTCATATAAAAATGCAATGGAAAAATATGTAAATATATATATTAAAAAAAAATTAAAATAAATTTAAAAATTAAATTAAAAAAATATATATTTTTTCCATCTTAATTAAGGGTGAAAATTTTCGACTCAACGCGATGACACGACACGACTTGAACTCGATACGAAAGTAAACAGTTCAACTCGTAACTCGACACGACACAATTAGTTAAATGAATTAAGTTAAGCTTGACTAATATTCGACAAAAATCCGTAATGACTCAACACGAATCTAACACGACACGACTCGATTATCATTCATAATCTTAGCTAACACAAAAAAAAAAAAAAGAATAGTCATTTTTATTTTCCATCCATCCAACCAAACATAAAGGAAGGAAAGTGTATCATTCCTACTTTCCTTTCTTGAAAGTTAGAAAGTGTATCCCTCCTATTTTTTATCATTCCTACTTTTCATCCTCCCCACCAAACAGAGCATTAGACCCATTGTTTGATTTTTTTAGTTTTATTCCAATAGATAGTATAATTGTATTCTAATTACGATTTTTTAAGAAAAAATTAAATTTTTAATTTTAATTTTATTTCAATAAATAATACAATAGAACATGAATTTTGATTGTAAAATTTAAAATATTTTATATTTTATATTTGATTGGAATATTTTTTTGTCTAAGTATAATATTTTAAACTTAAATTGTCTAAGTATTATACACTCACAAACTTTAGGGGAGTCTAAGTATAATTTATTAATGAATATATTTATAACATAAGTCTAAGTGTTACGTGCGTACAAACCTCAAATGGTCTGTATGTAATATTTCAAATTTCAAAGAATCTGAGTATAATTCTTCATAAAATATAAGTATTTTACCTCAGCCGAAAAGAAATATTACTAATAAGGCTTAATAGACATTCTTGCTCTGATAGGTTATATTACTTGAAGAATAAGATAATGGTTACAATCAATTTAGCTGGGAGCCCTTTACAGAGTGCATCTGGTGTTCTCTCTCTTTATGCTATATCTCCTCTATTTATGCAGTACTATCGCCTTCTATTTTTACACCTTACCGTTAGGATTTTGACAATGATTTCTTTTTTTAGCCGATTCGGTGGTCTCCTCCTAAATTCGTGTCTGTGTACTCCTAGCTAACTTGTACTTAATTCTGTGCGGCGTGATTGGGGTTGTGTCGGGTCAACTTGGTGTTGGGCTGAATTTCTCGAGCAAAAGTCATTTGGGGCCAACCCGATAAATGGTCAGGGATTAGTGATCCTAGGCTTTTCATGGGACAAGGTCGTGGTCCAACCCAAGCACACAAGATGTCATCCAGAAAGGCCGTTTGGTTTGTCTTTAATGAGCCCATTGGAAGGTTTGGTTTGTCTTTAATGAGCCAATTGGAAGCTTTGGGCCTGAGGTGGGGCCTAGGCTTAAATCCATCGTCATCACAAACAAACCAGCTCAGATGAATGAACTAGCACAGCATGCACATATATTCTTATTATTTCACTTGGCTGTACAATATAGTTGATAGAGTTGGTTGATGTTGTAGCCATAAGAGATGAAGAGTTCTGATGTACTTGATCTGTTGTATGTGACTTGTTAAATGGTGAGTCCAAATTCTTCTATGTATACAAACAGGTAAGTGATGTCAGGGCATGTTGGAACAGAGTGGGGGACAGGTAGAGCAAACCTCAATAAAAACATTTCAAATTACATTCAGCTTATTGGAGACAACCAAGTTAAGCAAAGGGTGTAACGAGTCGTTGGTCCACCTAACAGCTAAATTTATCCAGAGCTTGCGACAGTCAGATTAAGTTTCCTTAAGATTGGGCAAGATATCGACAACATGGAGGGCTGTAAGAAGCTCAACCCATACCAGGCTAACAACATAAACAAACTTTTAGCCAATTTGGATTTCAGAGTTTTAAGAACCATACAGTTAGGGTAATGGCTCTTTCACGTTTACTAATAAGGCATAGGATGAAGCACATAGAAAGGTAAGGTTTTCGGAAAATCAAAGCTTGTTTTGAACTTGATCTGATCCCAAAATGATTTTAATCACTACAGGAAATTAAGGATATCATAATCCCGATCATGTAAATCCGGCATAGATCTTTTTCCTATGACTTGGATACATTTTGCAAACCACATTGGGGTAGCTAATTTGTCAAAGAATTTTTTTTTTTGCTCATCCCAATAAACAGTTAACACCCTAGGGCGTCTATTTTCCATGCATTAGCTCGAATCAACTCAACTCAACTCATGAAAAGTCTTTTCTCAACTATTTGGCATCAAAATGTCTTGATTAGAAAGTTGCATTATTTAACTAACAGGATGTTTGACGCAGGCACTTTGTGCATGATTAATCTTTTCATAGACACTTCTTCCTTTGGGGATTTAGAAATCACCTTAAACCCAATGGGGTAACTAGGGGAGATAAGTATGGAATCTATCATTAAGTACTTACACGTATGAGATTACACACGGATTGTATGCATGTATTATGTGTCTATGCTTCAACTGATAACAATTCATGGCACAACCAAAAAGAATTCCAGTGAAAACATGAATGATTGAGCAAGTGACCCTAGTAACATGTATTCACTATTTATTGAAGTCTTTTTTTATTAGACATGCATAAAACATAATTTGGCTAATATTTTTGTTATAATGAAGCGTTAGCTTCCTGTAAATCACCGCTATAATCATCATGTAGACTGATAGGTGCAGTTTCCTACAGCCAACTAGAATAAGGATTTGTTTACATCCTATCAAAACTACAATTTGTTTACATATCAGGGAAATAAATTCATTACTGCTTACATTCTTGCATTTAAAGCAACAAAAAAGCAATTTTCAAAACAATACTTCCACAAACAATTTTCAAACCAGCAACTAGTATATTGTTCAAGTCTCAACAAAAAAAATTAAAAAAGAAAAAGCATGGGTATGCTCAGGCTTGTCATTAGAAATTATGATCCATACTGTTTTGATTTATCCCAATTCCCAAACACATCCAATACGCATAAGGAAAATACACACACAGTTCCAGTTTCGTCACAAATTAAAGATTTTACCCATCTAAGGCTGCTCTGTGGAAGCATTTGCCGAATCGAGCGACACATTGTTCATCCTTTCCAGAGCCAAAATAAGTGCTTGAGTACCCAAATCACCCTCCCCATAAGCCTTGAGAGAGAGATAAAGTTGCTGAGCCAATGCCAACCCAGGCAAAGCCAGACCCATGTGCTGACACTCCCTCAAACAAATCCCCAAATCCTTCACAAAGTGATTCACATAAAAACCCGCCTCGAAATCCCTCTTCAAAACCCTACTCCCATACAAATCCAACAATTTCGACCCTGCCGCTCCGGTGGAAATCGCATTTAAATACACACCCAAGTCCAAACCCGCCTTGTATGCATAAATTAACCCTTCACATAGCCCCACCATTGTTGAAGCAATGGTAATTTGGTTGGCCAATTTGGCAAATTGCCCTTTTCCAGGACCACCCATGTAATAAACTTTGCCCAGAAGAGTAAATAAGGGGTTCAATCGAGAAATTATACCCTCATCGCCGCCGGCGAAGATTGAAAGAGCGGCGTTGCGGGCCCCACGATCGCCGCCTGAGACGGGGGCGTCAATGGAGAAGCAGGACTTGGAGGCGGCAGCGGAGTGGATTTCGGCGGCTAGGGAAGGATCGGAGGTGGTCATATCGACGAGGATGCCGCCGGAGCGGAGGGAAGAGAGGGCACCGGAAGAGGGGTCCAGGATGACGTGACGGACGTCGGAAGGGTAGCCAACGATCGAGAAAACGACGTCCGATTGGGAGGCGACGGTGGCGGGTGAGGAAGCCCAGTGGGCCCCCATGGAGAGGAGGGGTTGAGCTTTGGCGGCGGTGCGGGTGAAGATGGTGAGGGAGTAGCCGGCTTCGATGAGGTGGGCGCACATTGATTGGCCCATTACCCCGGTTCCAATCCACCCCAATCTAGTGTTGGAGGGAGAGATGGGCGCAGCTGGAGTGGTGGCGGTGGTGGCCATGGTGCGGCGGAGATGGGTGGCGAGTTGGGTACAGAAGAGAGTATTGAAGAGGAATTGATGGTGGTGTTGGAGCAGAGAGTACAGCCTCATGCTTTGGGTCGTCCTCGTCCTCGTGTTATCCGGCGAAATCGTAATATTTATCAAATTCTAAGGTTCTTTTCGACACACGAAATTTCCTTTAAAAAAGGACGAATTACACTTTCTATCTACAGTGGAAAAAAACTTTGCATCTCTACAAATTAAATAATTTTTCACTCTTAGTTATATGAAAAATTAATAATATGATCTATATTTTATAAAATTGAGTATATATTTTAATTAATGCACGTAAAATTGAATAATATATAAATAATTTTTCACATTAATAGTTAAATTTAAAAGAAAAGAAAAAAAAAAATGTTAGCTCATGTAAAATTAAAACATCAAATAGTGTATATAAAAATAAAATATCAAAACTATTGTAAGATATATCGTTTGAGTTTGTACCATATTTTTGTATGATTAAGAGTAAAAAAAAAAATTAATATTTTGAAAAATAAATTAACCTTTTAATTGTAGATAATATTTTTCACTTTTAAAAAAAATGGAAAATTAGAACATAAGCACTTGAGTACGTTTGATTTTCTATGATAATTTGGTTTTTTAAGCGTGTAAAAGAAAAAACGAAAGAAAATGGACAAGTGCAAGACAAATAGAAAACATATGCTATTTGTCGGCTGGAAAAATACTACAAGAAGCAATTTTTCATTATTTTTCTCTTATAAAGATGCCAATAAAACCCACAAGTTGATGAATCCAATTTGGAAATGACAAACTCTATCAAACATTATATATACACTTTACCCAATAAAAAAAAAGTTAAAATGATCAAATTTGAGATTAAATATAAAGTTCAAATGATGTAATAAAATTTAAACACAAAATTAGGTATTTGTTAGAGCACTAATGCTATTGGGACATAATGAATTGTCATCAATGATATAATAGTGAAATGCATTTAATGATGAGTTTCATTGTGACATTAAATAAATTTATTATCATATCATTAGTAACAACTCATTATATCCCTAAATTATATTCATAAATTATATCCCAATAGCATTGCTCTTTATTAGAGATCGTTGAGGAACTTCTACATTATTTAAGTCATAATTTTTGTCAAAATATTTGTTCATACTAACATTAACATTACCTATATTCATTGGTTTAGGCTTGGACTATTGCACACTTCGAAACAGTTATAAGGTAACTTAGGTTATTATGTACTTTGTTTCGGCTTGACGCTTGTGTCTTGTCTAACAACTTCGGTTGTTCTAGTCTGCAACAAGTTCAAAAACACGAGCTCGTGGCTCTACCTTATGGGCTGTACAGTTAGCCCATGGGCCACCACGTGAGAACTCGCTACGTTCACGGGCCAGTCCTTGAGCCACAGACCATTTGCCAAGACTTAATCTTAATACGACATTCTTTTTTGTCGCTATTAGGAAAAAATCAAACCCGCAACAAGTACAAATGTGGAGGGCGTTGCCGTGCCATTGAATGGAGTTACTTACAACCCTTAGAAACACAACATAAGCAAGACCAATAGATTATACATGTATGCATGCACCATTTTGTAATTGAAGACTGAAAGTAGCTGTAGCATTTGTCACCATGGTATTACAAGTGAGTTGTCCCTGCGGTGACATCCGATAAAATTAGAACAGTACAGAAAAGATTAGTTTGATCCTTGTACAAGAATGATAGGCACAAATCGACACATACAAAAATAGAACATCAATTTACTAAAAACAGCCTAGTGGAGGCAAGGGCATTTAGGGAGAAAGAGACTGGAGATTCTAGGTTTTCTAACAACAATAATCCACTTAACCTCATTATGTGCATTGTCAATAAAATATCCAGGTCAAGTGCCTCAAAAACTGTAAGAGCTCTGTCAAATAGACAACGAACACAAAGTGTGAACTTTGGTAAGTGATTTATCACAAATCGCAGAAATAATGTTGGTAAATCAACCACACGTCGAGAAACAAATCTGCACTTTGATTTCTTGGATTAGACCTGAAAACAAATACCCACCAGATGCCACATTTATTTTTCTTTTTAATAATCAATACCACATCAAATTATATCCCAAGTTTACAAAACTAAACATCATATAGATATTACTAACAACATTTAACACACGAAAAAAAAAAATGCACAAGCACAATCTCACACAGGTCACAAATAGAGAACAAATCAAAACAAGTTTTGGCTGCATTACTCTATAAATCCTCCCTTAAAATTCCATAGCATAGCAGAACAATCATGATCCATGAGTTGTCTAGCGAGGGAAGAGAAGTAGCCCCATAGTGCAATCCACACCCACAAAACCTCTAAACCATAACCCCCTCCCCCCCCCCCCCCCCCCCCCCAAAAAAAAAAAAAAAAAACCCAAAAAACAATCATACTGTCAAAGTTAATTATATTGACGCAATACATCACGCAGTCATTTCATAACAAATGCCAAGTTTTTGTTAACTCTGGAATCATAATGGTCCCCAAACAAAAAGGAAAACAAACAAGAGATGAACAAGCCAAACATGAATTTAGCCCCAAAAAAAGGTAATTATCTCAATCTTGGTTAGCCTAAACACACAATTCTCCCATCATGGTAACAGACATGTAGAGCAATATCATGACTAGATCATGAAGTGTCACAAAAGGCCATATATGTCAGCATGTGTATGACTTAAATGGAAGCTTGGAACATTAACTTGGCATTTGAGTGCACAATCAGAAAATTAACTTGACACTTCAAAGGTTGCAAATTCTGTCCTTCCTATCATCCATTTTCCTCATAGTCAAAAAATGAAATTCAAACCAAATTATAATGCAATGCTCCCCCTGTATGGACCAATTAGAAATAGACTGCTACTGATGGCAACATAAAAATCACATCTCATTCAATTCTAGACAATACAACAACCGGTACTCATGTACATAACATAGCTACAATCAATGTTTTACAAAGACCGAAGGAAACCAAACCATTTAGTATTATACAACATCACAAAAATTCAATATTTACACATTTTGCAAACCTAAACACAAGCTCAAATTAATGAACAGATAAAAAACACAAGCTCAAATCACAATAACAAGATGAAGTACAACCAAAAGTCATAATATCCATGTCTGGAGTCTGCAAGTCATAACATGGTTAAGAGACAGAAACATAAGCCAAACAATCGCACACTACTAAATTTGATTGAATGGTAAAAACTTTGAATTCTTTCCTTGTTGCTCAAACAATCCATTATCGTACAATGCTGCCACTATATAATTCGAAGACATTTGAAAAAGAGACAATATCAAGATATAATATCATTCCATAACATTAACCAACATTAAAACATCCAAAACCTCAATTCAACAATAGGATTAGGATTAGAACACCAAACCGTAAAAATTCCACAAATAAATTCACTTGAACTCAAAAGTCGGCGGAATCGGTGTATCAAAACTCTCCAAAACCCCTGTTTTCACTCCACCACTGTTCTTCTCTTCCTCTTTTTTACCTCCAAACCACCCCCCAAACCAAGGTGACGAGGTCGAATCCGCTGATGATGAAGAAGACGACGATGATTCTTGCTGAGCCCGATTATTAGGCAACTGAAACCCAATTCCACCAGGCGTATTGGGCATTGGCTCATCAACAATAATCGGAGGCATTTGTTGAGCACTCGTGAACTTATTCAACATTATACCAGCACCTTCAATAAGAGCCAAGAGGACTCCGCCGAATAGAGCGGATCGCGAAGCCGCGCCGAGCCCCTGGCGCATTTGCAAGAAGCCGCCGGTAGCTGCCCCGGCGATTATAGAGTTCCATGGATCCTCCTTTTGGCGGACATAGACCATGGTGCAATCAAAGGTGGAGAAAAGCCCTCCCCACACAGCGAAGCTGCCGCCGACTCGCGGCGCGTTCATTCGCACCGCTTGTGAACCGCCGATAAGACGCTCCCCTCTCGGCGAGTTGTAGACACCTTTGAGAAAGTGGAAGGCCGAGCCGCCGACTGCGCCCATGCCGAATGCTCCGCCGACGTCGTCTAGGATTCGATCGGGGCACGGTTCTCGAGATGTCTCTGGTGTTCCCATAATGTGGCGGTTAGAGAGAGAGAGAGAGACAGACGGGGTTAGGGTTTATGGGGTTATTGACTTGGGTACATGGAGGAAAGAAGCAAAATAACGGCGGAATAGTTTAGTTTGGTTTTAGACCTTTAGGCTTCGACCGTGCAGAAGGGGTCAATTGGGGATGATGCGATATGACGAAAATGTCCCGGAGAGAATATCAAAAAAAATTTACCTTCTGAAAAAAAAAAAAAAAAGAATATCAAAATTTCATTTATGGCTTAATTTTGATTACCTAAAAAATAAAAATATTTCAAAATAAAATAAAAAACCGATAAAAAAATTAAAAAATTATTTTTAAAAATTTTAAAATCATAAGCCAGAATATCTAAAAACATCTCGAATAATAAAATTATGCAAAAACATCTCAATTAATTTAATTATTGACTCGTTTTAATCTCATAAAAATAAAAACACTTCAAACGGGTTTGGATCATTTCGAAACTATATTTTGATAATTAATCAATATTTAGAAGTATTATTTTCATCAAGATTTAAGTAGTTAATAGGTAATTAAACTTTACGTGAATATCGGTTCTAATAATTACAGCCCAAAAACTCTATTGTGATCAATTGTAACTTACCTATAAGTCACTCTTTAACTGGTACCTTGTAAGTCCTGGAGATCACTACAGTTGTGTTGATTTATTTGTGGTCATTGATTTTAAAAATAATAAAATATAGAAATAAAATATTGGCCTCGTTCTTCTTCTTCGCCAAAAGTGATGCAAGAGGGGCAAGTTCTGGCGAAGGAGCGAGGGAAAGGTTGAGATCAGGAAGCGATTGATTGGAAAGGTGAGAAGGAGCTGATAGCGAAGGGAAATGAGAAACCGATAATATCTGAATCGGGAGATTTTCGTTTGTTCTATCCCGTAAAAAATATGAGGAATATATATTTTAATATCCTATGGGATCCTATAAGTCCCTCTTTATTTTGCTTGTGAAATTTTTCATTCATCTTTTTTGAGGTATTCTCATATAAAGTTTTTCGAAAATTTATCTAGAATTAAATGAATGGTAGTGAATTTTAAGAATTTCATATCTGCCATGCGTTCACCACAGCTTCAAATAAGCTAGGTTTGTGTTTTCTAAGGCCTGTGTTATCTTTAGTCATAATTCTCTCCAGTTTTATTTCATAAGCTGAAAGGAAAAAAATTTCAAAAAAGTGAAGAAATTTTTTCTTTGAAATAGATGACATAATTTCTCATATACTAAGACATTACCAAATTAATAAATACCTTATTTATTCACATGTGATCAGAGTTTCAGCTACTACCTAATGTTGGGTTGAATCCTTTGTAATAATACATTTTCTCTTCAATTATCTTTTTGTAGGACTCATTGTATACAATTCAATTGCTCACTCCTAAATGCTAAATTATCCGCCAAGAAAAGCATTGAAGATAAAATGTACTAAAGGAGTTCTAGGTCCCATGTTTATCTGTGGCGTTCGTTGTGCGTGTTTGCCCTGTGCTTAAATCTACCTTCATACACCTCCGTTACTCTTTAGGAGGCATCTGCCTTAGATAAACTACCAACCTCAAAGTGATAAGGCTCACATGACGTGGTAGAGCGCAACTTTTATAATTGTGTCATTGTGCCTAGACTGCGAAGGCTGGATGGCGTATTTTCTTTGAATTCCAAAGATGAAAAATAAAACAATTGATTCATATCTCCTAACATTTCATCAGAAACATTCTGAAAAATTCTTTGATTTCCAATAGCCCAATGGTGGTTACAAATTTTCCTATTTCAGCTTGAATTGAAAATACTGTAAGAAAAAAGAAAACTTAACCAGCCTTTCAAGTAAAAAGGAAGGGGGGGAGGGTTGTTGGCTGCTTCAACCCCACTTCTACTCAACCTCGACCCTCTCGTATACTTGAATTCCCATCCAAAATGAGTAAAGATGAATATCTCATCTTTAACTCATTTCTTATGTTTAGAGAGGGAGGGAGAGAGAGGCTTCGAACTTGAATGGAAAAGGTTCCACCTCTCCTCTTAATAAACCCACCAGGAACACAACTGATTCTATACACAGCTGTCCTGGCAAACTCACTCTGGGCATGGGGAAACAAGACCATTTTTCACAATGTAAAGCTCACCCCTAGCAAATCATGAAAGAGATTAACATGGATTTTGAAGAGTTCTTAATAGTTCTTCTCTTTACCAAGAAAAAACATCAACGCAATAAAAAGTCCTAGATCTCAAAAGACAAATCCAATGGATTCCACCAAGTGAAGGAGAATTAAAGCTCAATGTCGATGCAGCAATTGGAGAGGAAATTCATGCGCAACAACAATTATTAGAAACCACCAAGGCACAGTGCTGAGAACAAAGATTCGAATTCAAGACACAAAAGATCCACCAGAGGCAGAAGCATTGGCAATGAGAGAAGCAGCAATATGGGTAAATCAGAATAATTGGAGAACCTGGAGAGTAATTCACAAGCAATAGTTCATTCTGCCTTGTTAAATCACACTAAACTACAATAGAACATCTTGTTAATTATCCAAGACATACAACATGTACTCAAGCAGCAAGTGGACTGGAACATCACTCATACATACGGAGAAGCCAATGGAGCAGCTCACGAGTGGGCAAAATGGGCCTAAGTAATCAAAATAGGGGTGAACTCAAAGAGACTGACCTCCCATTTACAGTCAGGAGCCAAACAATGGAGGATATAACTGTTGGAGCTTTAGATATTTAAGTTAGTTTTTTTTTGTCTTTTATGGTGCATTGTACTCAATCTCATTCTTACCTTATCTATAATTTCAATCTATCTAAATAATTAAACTCTGCTTGTTAACCCCTCTACGAACACTGGAATAAACAAAATGTTACCATGCAAGCTTATATTCTGCAAGTCCCAAAAAAAGAAGCCTGTTCTGTGTTTCACTACTTTTTCAACAACATTGATTCGTGTTTTTTGCCCTTTTCAGATTAAAAGAAGCAAGGATAAGGGTCCAAAGTTCACAGATTAGGGAGGAAAGCATTTGTATTGGAAGAAAGGAGCTCCACCCAAGGTCTCAATCCTCGGTTCGTTGTCAAGGAGTTGTATTCAGTGGCGCCAGCCAAAGAAATATGATCTGTCATCCAAATCTTGTTCATTGTCGGGTCTTCAAGGACATCCCATTTTAATGAACCTTCAAGGACACCTCATATAAAGTTTGAAACGTACAGATACCCCCTTCTTAGTTAGAGTTGACAGCAATTGTCATTTTACTTAATTGGACATAAATGCACACCTCTACCTCCAATAACCACCACCCACTACCATCAACTCCAACCCAACCTCAACCCTAAAAACCCACATCCTTACACCCATTGGCATGCACCCATAGTCTCACAAACAAAGACACACACCCACACACATTAAGAATCAAAATACTTGTAAGCCACAAACACATCCAAATTCGTAGAAGAATATAGCTGGGGCAGTAGCAACACACGAGGAAGTGACATGATTCAGAGTTTGCCATTCCCTTCCAATTGTGCCATTTATAGATTATTTTTTAACCTGTTGCTAGTTCAAACTTCACAATTAGTCTACCAATTAACCTCACACAAGGTGACACAGATGATAACTATTTCAATGAGCTCAGGCAACAATGTAAAAAGGAGTGAGCCTTAACTTATCAAAGGGAAAATCAGCCCCAATAATTATAACATTCTTACAAGGCGGTCAAAATATTGTTTTACAAAGGGACAGATCTAGCAGCTTACTTGTCCAGTTCTCCAATGTAAAAGTCGTCGATCAAGTCAAAGACTCGGGTCGCATGTTGTGGCCTACCACATGTATGTACACAGCAACATGTTGTGAGAAGTGAGAACTAAATATTCAAGTGAAAGCAACATGACAACATAAATGGAAACTCTGAAGTAATTAGGAACAACAATTACAAGTTGATGATCCTTTTGTATGTCGACGATGACATTTGCAATTGATTCAGCAGGGAAGAAGCATTTTTTTTAAAAAAAACTTGATGTTTTTTCTCTAGATAATTTATTTCCGAGTGGTTTAGTTTCTTTTGTGGGTTTTTTTCTTGTGTTTTCCCTTTTCTTTTTTTGTGTGCGTATTTGTTTTTTTTTGGGGGGGGCACAAAACAAGTAAAAAGCCATCTCAAAAAGAGAAGCTTACCCAAAGAACCCTTCAGTTGAATCGTCACCGGCATGTGCTAGGATGGCATCCCCCCCAGGGTGTTCTTCTACATATGAGGTGACATCATAAACCTGCAATCGGCATAAGATAACAAAAAATAAAAAAAGAAAAAGAGAAATAAGAACCCACACATAGAGCTGTCATCATGTCAATGTCATTTTGTTAGGAAGCACAATGGTTGGTTCAACCTACATATGAAGCAAAAAACTGTGAAACTTAATGAAACCTTTTCCTTGATGATGATCCAACAATCGGTCCTCTTGTTATGCAAGGAAACTTCAGCTTTACTGTATATTTTCGATGCCTATTTGCCAAAAAGGGCAAATGAGAATCTCAGTAACAAAATCCTGGAAAATAAGTTATTACGAAACATCAAAATAGAAATATTCAATGCGCTCCAATGAATCCTAGGAAGTCTTGTCCCAAATAATTGAATTTATCGAGTGCAGTATGCGCTATATCTTTTCAAGTTAGAAGCAAGGGTTCACCAATGGGCCTTTGGTCCAATGGTACTCCTTGTCTTATAAAGGTTTTGTCTTCTTGAGGTCAAGGGTTCAAGTCCCCTTCTCCCAAAAAAAAAGTGAAAAAAAAAAAAAAAGAAGCAAGGGTTCATATAGCAGTCAAGAATTGTGCATAATCATTCCACTTTTACACTCTACAGTGACAAGAAAAGATAAGGCATTCAGGCAGTGTAGCCATTCTTACAATTAATCATTTAAAGTCACTTTGCACAAGTAATCACTCCGGAATGCTAAAAATGCACTTTTTAAAACTGTGATTGCTTACTCTTGCTGTTTACTTGAACAATTTATCTGTCTCTCCAAATCGAGGTACCTACCTCATTTTTTTATCATCTAGATGCACCTCTACGCTGCATCAATTGTAATCTATTCCACATCCCTTTTCTCAGGTATGCAACCACTTACATGTTTATGTACACTAGTAAGAATCAATGATGAATGCTCCAAATCAGTTTGTTAACTACAGAATAATGGGTTTATGAGCTCCAAATACCTTGCTGGCAGTACTTGACAGAACCGTTTTGCTATGATCTGCATTATACATATTTCAATATATCAAACATTCAATTACATAAACACTGCAAATCATTTGGTGTTTAGCATCTTCCCAGATTCAGATCCACACAAATAAACAAGAAAAAGAGAAAGATTACCCAATTTACGCAACCGCGGAATCACAACGAGCACACCCAATAAAAGACCTAATACCACTGTCACCACCACCATTATCTCCATAGCTCACTTACTGCTCACACATTCAACCAGATTAAAAGGGGAAAAAAAACACAATTATACTAAATAGCAGTTTGTATACAGTTTATGCAAAGATAAGCTGCGTATGGGACTAAATGTATTCAATGACTAAAATTGAATGCACCATTCGAAAGTAAATCCTGTATGCAATTATGAAATTATTAAAAAGAGGTGAAGTGAGGGGTACCCTGAAATGGGATTAAATGGCAATCTTCGGTCCTTGATTTTCTGGTAATAATGCGGGAGAATCGATCGGAAGTTTGTTGTTTTTGAAGCATTAGCCAGAGACGACGAAGTGAGATTTGGGAGCTCAGCGCGTTACCTATTTGTCTGTGATGTGCATGTTTTAGAAAGCTGCGTGTCGGGTGGAGTTGGGTAAGGAAAATGATATCGGGTGCCCCATCTGACCTGACCCGTCTTCCAGTTTTGTGTGTATTGCTATTAATCATGTCAGAGTAGTTAGCTTTTTTTTAAGAAGAAAATACTATTACGAGATAACGAGTATCATTGGACTAAAGATCAATTAGTCGTAGTTAGAATATTTAGTCTTAGGGTAACTTAGTTATTTGTTTTCTTTTTAGCTAATTGTGCTTCAATAATATTCTATTTTGCTTTCTCTTATCTTTTTTAAGATTGATCAAAATTAACATGGTATCATACTTTTTATATTACTAGCAATGCAACACATATTTCGCACATGAATAATTTTTGTATATCAAATATTAATAAAAAATATTATGTATATGTGTACCTACATTAAATATCAACTCAAATTTACAAACATTATATTTTTATCGCTCGGGTTAATTACAAGTTGTACCCTGAAAGATAGTTGAAATCTTAATTTACACCCCCAAAGATTAAAAATCTCAATTTACACCCTCAAAGATAGAAATTTGTATCAATGTGCACCTCCAAAGATAAAAATCTCAACTTGCACCCTCAAAAATAGAAATTTGTATCAATGTGCACCTAAAATTAAATTGATAAATTATATCAAGATTCCCTCATGCTTGTCAATTAATCATTTGGACCCCTTCACATTTAGAATATTACTCCTACATCTCATAATGTTTGTGCACGTGTAACATGTAATCCCCTTTCATTGATATCTGTTAATATAACCGTTAAAAAATATAATTTTATCCTAATAAAAAATTATAATGTCCAATGGTAAACTTAATTTTGAACTTTAGAGTATATCGAACCCACAAAATAAATGATAATATAAAATTATAATTTTGTATTAGGATAAAATTATATTTTTTAACGGTTATATTAACAGATATGAATGAAAAGGGATTACATGTTACACGTGCACAAACGTCATGAGATGTAAGAGTAATATTTTAAATGTGAAGGGTTCAAATGATTAAGTGACAAGCATGAGGGGATCTATGTATAATTTATTAATTTAGTTTTAGATGTACATTAATACAAATTTCTATTTTTGAGGGTGCAAATTGAGATTTTTATCTTTAGAGGTGCACATTGATACAAATTTCTATATTTGAGGGTACAAATTGAAATTTTTGATCTTTGAAGGTGTAAATTGAGATTCTCATTATCTTTCGGGGTGTAACTTGCAATTAACCCTTATCGCTCATAGTATACTATAAAATTCAAAAAATATTATTTGTTCCTAACGATTCGTTGTTCTAACTATAAGAAAAAAATAAAAATAATTTATTTGAAATTCATTTTATTAGGTTTATAATTATGAATTAGTTAAATCAATAGAGATAAAATATAGGGTTTATAACAATTTGGGTCTCCAAAGTATGCGTTTTTTGTCAATTTCGTCCTTCAGATATGAATTTTGTCCTAAGATTACATTGGCCAAGCAGGAGGGAGGTCTTAATTTGAGGAAGTTTGAGGAAATTCAAGAGGCATTTCGGTTGAAGCAAGCTTGGAATTTATTGATGGGTTCTTCATTGTGGGCTAAAACTTTTTCAGCCAAGTTTTTGAAGGATAAGCATGTGTTGAGATGCTTAAAGAAGACTCATTTCAAATATTTTAAAGACTTAAGGCCTTTTCTGGAGAATGTGATTCACCATTCGAAAATGTTGATTGGTGATGGGCGTCTTACGGATTTTTGGTGTGACAATTGGTTGGGGGGTGGCCCTTTGTTAAGCAAGGTTGTGAGTTCTCCACAATCTTTTCCCAGAGTCTCTGAGCTGTTATTGGATTCTCAATGGCAGTTTATAGAGGTGGGGGAATTGTTATCTGTTTCATTGAGGGATGAAATTATGGCTAGTGGTGTGGTTTTGTCTGATAGAGCAGATAGACTGATTTGGCAACATATGAATTCTAGTGATTTTTCCGGTAAATCTGCTTGGGAGGTTTCTAGGAGGTCTGGTGGTGAAAGTGTTGAAGCTTCGATCATTTGGGGCATTAATACTGCTCCTAGTGCCAATCTGATTGGGTGGAAAGTGCTATTTTGGGCCTTACCTGAGGATGCGAGAATCAGAAATCTGGGCATCCCTATTGTTAGTAGGTGTTGCCTATGTTGTCAAGCTATGGAGAGTACTGAACATATATTTGTTCAGTGCGTGTTTACTGATTTTCTTTGGAAAAAGTTTGCTTGTCTATTTGGATTTCAACTTGTTGAGGGGGAAGGGCCTTTAGTCAGATTGAAGAGACTGTGTAGAGTTTTTAAGAAGCAGCCTGTTTGTCATGGAGTGGTTAGGAGTATTGCTTTGTTGATTTTCAGGCAAGTTTGGAAGGAGAGATGTAGGAGGACGGCTGGAGAAGGTGTTCTGAATTCTTATGCTGTATTTCTTAAGATTTGCAGTCTTTTGAAAAATCAGGTAAGGAACATAAAGGCGGAAATTCGAGACTCCCAATCCTGGTATTATGGGGCTGTTTGGGTGTGTACAGGGCTGTTTGGGTGCGTTGGGAGTATCCCAATCCTGGTATTGTAAAGTTAAATGTCGATGGTGCTGCCGAAGGTAATCCTGGTCCAGCTGGTGGAAGGGCTGTTTTGAGGAATGAAAGGGGTGGCGCTATCCTTACAGCATCCTTTTATTATGGGGAGTGTTCGAACATGAAGGCTGAGTTTTGTAGCCATGGCATGATGGAGGAAGATATTTGGGTGGAGTCTAATTCACTGGTTTTGTTGAATCCTATGCTTGGTAATGTGGAGTGTGCATGGCATTATTTGAGTATGCTGTATCAAATTAAAGATTTATTTGGCAGATTGAAACGTCAAATACGTCAGGTGTATCGAGAGGATCAAGTGTCTTCTGTTTTTACTAGGAGTAATATGCCTAGGTTGGTGACTAATCTGCTAAAGCGTGATCAGAGGAAGCTTCCGGTGTCAAGAGCAAAGAGGGTGTTAAAGTGTGTGTATGAGTGAGGGCTTTGGTTTGATTGTATGTTTCTTGTATCAGTTGTGTATTTTGTTTGGTTGTTTTGAGGGATTAAAGCCATTGTGTGGTTTTTTACTTTTGACTCGTAAAGTTTTGCTTCTTCTATTCTGTTAGTTAGAAATTAATAAATTTTATGTGGTTGTGAAAAAAAATATGAATTTTGTCAATTTCATCTATAAAATATTCGATTCTTGTTTAAATGGTCCCTAATCGAACGGTTCATTAAGTTTTTTGACAAAAATGATCACCTGTCATTCCGTCAGATAGTGTCATGTGACCAATAGGTGATGACTTCTGTCAAAAACTTGACAGATTGTCTATGTATAAATCATTTAAACTACTAACTTACTTTAATGTTCAACTTGATACAATGAAGACTAAACTGATAAAAAATATATATTTCAGAGACTAAAAATACTATTAACCCTAAAATATAATATATTATTCTATAACATATATTTTAAAAGAACATTAAAATTCTAAAATTAAAGTTTTATTTTAAAATACACTATAATTTTTTTTTATTTAAACTCTTAATAAAACATGAAAAATTTATTGTAATTGAAGAATTATGTTGATTTAATATAAATTATTTTTTAAAAAACTACATAAAAGATTATTTTTTATCTTAAAAATGAAATGGTTGAAATTTTGGAGAAAAAAAATATACATATATAAGCATAATGTTATCTTTATATTTAAAAAGAGTAATTTTAGATTGATGAAAGTTTTGAATATTTTTTTAACACTGTATTGAAAACTATAGTAGTGCATATATTTTTTAAGGGTAATGTAGTCGAATGAAAATTTTCATACAAACTAATATTTATACACAATTAATAGAGAATTAAAATAAATGTTAGAGATAATTTAAAATTTTAAATAGATAAGTATATGATGGTAATTTAGATACTTAACTATGGAATGATAGTGTGATATTTAAAATTTTTTTATAACAGTAAAATAGTGAATTAATAGTTTTTCCATTCTGATATACTTTTATTGGTAATATAGATTATTAATAGTATAGATAGAAAAAAAATAAATATATATAGACATAATGTTATTTTTTTATTTGAAAATAGTAATGATCTATTATTGATAGACATTTTGAACACGTTATTGAAAACTATAATAATGTATATATTTTTTAAGGGTTGCGTTGTGAATTAAAATTTTTCATAAATATTGATATTTATATAAAGATAATAAAGAATTAAAAGAGATGTTAGATGGTAGTTTGAAGATTTAAATACATAAGATTGTGATTGTAATTTAGATATTTAACTATAAAAAGATAATGTGATATTTAAAATTTTTTATAAACTTAAAATAGTGAATTCAAAGTTTTTCACTTAAAGTATTTTTATTAATAGTATTGATATAAATAATTTAGGATGCGTTTGGTAATGTTTTTTTTTTTTTTTTGTAAAGGGGCGCGTGTTTCCCTTTTTTCGTGTTTTCAAAAACACCTCTTTTGATGTTTTTAAACTTTAGGGTTGTTTACAAAACAGACCAATCAAAAAATAAAAATAAAAATAAAAACACTCTCCAAGCGCGCTAGTGTTTTGTTTTGAGTAAAAAATGAAAACAAAAGCAAAAAAATACATGGTTACCAAACACTACCTAAATCTTTCAAAAATTATAAATTCTTGTATCATTCCTTATTTAATATTGAACTCGAATCCTATAAGCTAATCAAATTTCAATACATTTTATTTCAAATGAGTAGATATCACTGAAAAAGAATTTAGAGATAAAGATTGTGAGTTATACCGACTCAACTTGAGTTCAAACAAAAAATGAGCTTAGTCTAAAAATCTCGGATTGTTGTTATAATGGAAACGATTAGTAGCACTACATTACTCTCTTCGGTGGTATACTAAATTTTTTTACAAGTCGTAAATCTTGTTTTAGTAAAATAAATAATAAAACATAAAAAAAATACTGTACATTTATTTTACAACTATGGTTACAAAAATATAGATTTCTGAATGGTCAGTGAAAATTAAAAAGTGGGTGAAAAATCAGATTTGAAAAGTGTAAAGGAGAGACGATTAGAGGAAATCTGGGGTTGCTCCGGAGAGAGAGAGAGAGAGACGGAGGGACTAGACTGTGTGTGTGTGTGAGAGAGAGAGAATAAGCCCCCAAGTCCAAGGTCAGGTGCTTAATCAGAGAAAGAAATCATCTGTAAAAATAAAAATAAAAAAACCAAAAAAGCCCCAACCCAGTTCAGCGTCTCTTTTCGAAAAAAAGAGGAAGCAGAGTTACGTAAAGAATTAGGGGAATAAACAGTTTCAGAGCTTTATAATCGAGAAAAAAATTGTATAGATGGAGAAGAAAGACAAAATCTGAAAAAAAACAGAGAGCTATAATAAAAGGAGTAGGACTGAAAACATGACTAACCGGATGGAGCTATCCGTTCGGCGTTCGATAATGTTCGTCAACTTTTGTCGAAGAGAAGAGAGAGGCGAAGGGAAAAGACAAAAGATAGACGAAGGGCAACCGGTTATAAGAAATTGATTATTAAATCCAAAGGTTAATTGCAAATTATATCCCAAAAGATCTCTTGAATTTAAATTTATACCTTTAAAGATTAAAATTTTTAATTTATACCCTTAAAGATATAAATCAGTGTTAATGTGCATTTGAAGCTAATAGGGTTTGTCATCTAAAATTAAATGGATAAATTACACCTAAACCCTCTAAATTTTGTTACTTAATTACTAGATCCTTTTACATTTAAAATATTACACATACACCTCGTGACGTTTGTGCGCATGTAACACATTATCGTTTGTCGTCAATATTCATTAATATAAACGTTAAAAAATATGATGTTATCATAATAAACAAATATAATTTTCATATTACCCTTTAATTTATGAACTCGTTGTATTTTAAAGCTCAAAATCAAGTTTACTCTTTAAATGTCCAATACAATATAAGTATTATATAATGTCTAAGAGTACTAGTATTATATAATGTTCTTTATATCCAACGTAATACATCATTTGAATAAAATTATTTGGATGCCCAATTGGGGAACACTTTTAGTTATACTTAGATTTTTAAGGGATATAGGTGTAATATTTTAAATGTGATAAGTTCAAGTAACTAATTGACATTCATGAAGGGTTTTAAATATAATTTATTCATTTAATTTTAGTGTGGACGATTATTAGCTTCATGTGCATGTTGATAAAGATTTATATTTTAGAGTGTAACTTGAGATTTTTGATTTTTAAAGATACAAATAAATAAGTGGAGTTGGAGGGTGAGTGGGGTTTGTGTCTTTTTGACAGTAACAATGCGTTGGACATTAATAATTTAAATAATAATTTTTTTATTAAATTTATGAAAATATAAATTTTATGTATAATTAAATTAAATGATAATTTTGGTATTAAAAAATTAATCTATATTTATTTCTTGTTAAACTAATAAAGGAGTTGAAAAGAATTTAGAAGTCAAATACTACTTATAAAAAAATTCAAAAGAACTTAAAAGTCAAATTATGTATAAAAATAAAAATTATATGAATGTATAAGGATATAATTGATTTTATAAAAGTTGGGCTAGTGACACATAAGGTGCATTGCGCGTAAACATATTTAAATAATAATTTTTTACTAAACTTATTAAAAATAAAAATTATATTTATAATTGAATTGAGTAAATAAATTATGTGTCGGCGAATTAATTTTAATTTTAATTTTTACTAAATTTAGTTATTAATCTATACATGTGTTATACTATAATTTGAGTTAATAGAGTGATTATTGTAATTTAAGACCTAAAGCTATAACAATAAGTAGAGCGAACGCATAGAGATCTAATGCCACATAATAAGAAGAGTTTTGATAGGAGATGGAAGAAAAAATGATGACTTTAATAAAGATGTGTGGGGGTAAGATTGATTTATATTATTAAAGAGGGATGAAATAAGATAAATTTATGCACCACACTTTTCAATTTGCTGCAGGCTAGTGAAAGGCAACTTAGCAAACCAGTTTAATAAATGGTTTAGCAGAGGTGAGAAAGCAATGATTCGTCACAGGGAAAAATTTTAGACTAATCATCAAGTATGAATGGATCCATCATCTACCTCTTCCGAACGAACATGTAGAGAGATGGGAATGGGTGGCTGGGGAGGCAACAATCGTGTTATATTGAATATTTACTCGTGTTTTAGGGTTTTTTTGTTACTTGGGTTGGGCTATTGCAATAGTTTATATATATAAAACAGATTGAATTTCTATCGAATCGGATTGATATATATATATATTAGTAATTATTCGTGCCTGAAGGCACTGTATTACTCATAAAAAATAAACAAAAAATTCTCCAAAGCAGTACCACATATATAAATACACCGGGAAAAAAAAATACTGACAGAACCAAATCAAATGTACAATAAAATCTTTGGAGAATTCATCACCATTACCATAATCCAATTTAATAATATAACATAATTATAAACTCAATCCACCCATGTAATAAATATCTCAAACAAAAAATTGCCCACAAATGCAATCATCTATATAATAAAAATAAGTTCACAAATGCTGTCAAAAAAATAAGTTTTGTCATTTGAAATTTCACTAGCTTCCAAAAGAATGAATACAACCTGTAAAAAAAAAATTGTATTTAGATGTTTTTCCATTCTCTAAAAATATAAAAATATTTTTTTCAATTCATCCACATTCAAATAATAAAAAGATTGAGAAAACATATTTACCTGAAAAGTATCGCTTCATAGGTTCTGATGTTCATTGTTTGTCAGTTGAGTCTCCACGTCTTCTAATGCTCGTAAACAAATTAAGTCATTTTCGTTATCCTCTAATAGATCCTCCAATTCTATCATATCTAGGAAGCCATTCTCGAATTTCGTATGAATGAAGTCAATTGGCTAAGAAGATGAAAGCGTGCTAACAACAACATACAATATAATTGGATTATTCGGGCCAAAACCTTTTTGTTTCGGTTCAAAAAATAATGATTCTTTCTTTTTTATATGGTCAATGACATTTAATTGTGGATCCATTTTCTCTGTCTCAAACTGTATCCACAATGGATGG